CATGTTCAGACATGAACTATTTTAATGTTAAGGATAATTGTTGTTCCTGCTTATCTTGATTAAGATCTTAATGGTTATCGTAAGCTGCAAAAATAACATTTATATTCTAAACACTAAACATTCTGTAATGAGTATAGAAGTTAAGAGGCATAAAAGTGATAATCTGGATAACACGTAAATCTGGCATTGCAGACTTGGTTATATAGATGAAATGCAATTCAAAATTACATAGAGATATATACGTAGAGTCAGTTGATTTTGAATCATTTAACAAGTGCAAATCATACCTGTTATGGTCAAATCTCCTTTTACTTGAAAGGGATAATATCTGCATAATTACTAGTCTAATACATAGTGATGTTTATGGACCCTTGTCAATTAATATCAGATGTGGTTTTCTCTTATTTCATCAATGATCGTGTATACTTGATGAAATTTAAACATGAAACTCTTGAAAGGTTCAAGGGATTCAAACTAAAAGTAAAGAAACAAATAGGTGAAGATATCCTTATATAAAGATCCGATCGAGATGGGAATATCCTAATGATGAAATTCTGGATTATCTAAGAGAGAATAAGATTTTCTCGCAGTGGACTCCTCCATATACACTATAACAAAGTGGTGTGTCTGAAAAAAGGAATCGTAAACTATTAGATATAGTGCAATTAATAATAAGCAATGCAATCTCCCAAAGCCATTTTCGGTTCATGCACTGATTGCAGTGTACTGCATGTCCCATCTAAGTTCGTTAACAGAGCTCCATACAAGCTATGGAAAGACAATAATCCTAATTTATCTCATATGAAAGTTTGGAACTGTGATGCCTATCTAAACCGCATTGAATCGAATAAGTTTGAGACTAAATCCAATAAATACATATTTATGGGATATCCAAAACAGATATTTCGATATCAATTATATTAACCCATTGAGAAGAAAGTCTTCGTCCCACCACATACCGTCCTCTTAAAGAAAATGTCTACTCTAGAAGAGGACAGTGGGAGCAAAATAAAACATGAAAGAGTTCAAGAGTCCACAAATATAGTTAACCAAGTAGATGAATCCGAGTTTGATCCCATATCAGATGTGGGACATACTTTTGATCAGAAAGTAGAGACTCATGAGGACATGTCAGCTCTGAATGAATCTAATAGGATCATTCGACCTTCAAGAATGTGCGATTCTGTGATTACTAATCAGATATTACTGATCCAGGATGATGAACCTACTAATTGTACAAAAATAGAGTCATGTGTTGACTTAAAAGAGATGGAAAGAGGTCATGAAACCCGAGATAAACTCGACGTCTGTGAACAAAGTTTGGACCAAGCCTCCTGATGGGATAAAACCCATAGATTATAAATGGTTTACAAGAAAAGGTTGACATGGATGGGAATATCCATACATACAAAGTAAGACTATTAGCAAAAGGTAATAAATAAAGACAATGTGTTGACTTTGATAAAACATTTTGCCTATAGCCATGCTGAGGTCCATTCAGATTTTAGTTGCAATAGTTGCATACCGTGACTATGGATTAAACCAAGCCTCTTGGAGCTGAAATCTTCGATTTGATACAAAAATCAAAGTGTTTGATCTTATCAAATATAAAGATGAATTGTGTGTTTGCAAAAGGATAGTGAGAGCATTTTTTCATTCCTAATATTATATGTAAGACATATTGTAGATAGGAAATGACATCCTTAAGTTTCAATCGTTAAAATAATAGTTGTTAAAGGATTTATTAAAATCAACGATATGGGGAAGCGACTTGATCTATAGAGATAGATCTAGAAGATTACTTAACTCATTCCAATCTTCATAGATAAAATCTTGAGAAGATTTTATATGAAGAAATTGGTTTACTCTTAAACGGGGTGTTGGAAAGGTTCCAAACATAAAACAATCTTTGATTCAAAAGTAGGAACAAAATACATGATTGCTTAAGAAGTAGCAAAGAGTTGCAATGTGGATCAAGATGTTCATTAATGAATTTGGAATAGTTTCCAATATTGTTGATCACATGCCATTGAATTATGATAACAATAGAACCATCACGAAAGCAAATGAACTAAGGTCTCATCAATGATCCAAACATGTATTAAGGCAATATAATCTCATCAGAGAGATAATATATAGAAATGACATAAAGAGAAGAACGAATTCTCACATTTGACAATATTACAGATTCACTGACAAAGAGTTGTCATAGCATAAACATGATCTAGTCATCATGTAGACTATTATGATATTGGATCCATAAGTGAGTGGATCTAGTGCAAGTGGGAGTTTGTAAGTGTTATGCCCTAGGTCCAATCAACCTTGAACATAAAATATTTTTAATATATAATTAATATAATTTAATGGCAGATCTATCATTTAATTAATAGACAATTAAATTAAATAATAGAGTCCGTAGATTCAAATCTTTGTAATTTATTAATCACAAGGAGTTGTAACTATGACATATAAATTACATATGATTGAATCTTAAATCGTCCGTGGTCGTAAGTAATAACGAGATATGAATATCGTTATTACGGATAGATCATCATGTGTGGCATTTCTTACTTGTGAAGTAAGTAGCTGATCTCACAAACTAAAGTGTAGTAACACTTGAATGAATACGTGGATGTTTTGTTATAGAACAAAACATTGGAGACCCATCGAGAGATTCCACATGGATAACTATCTGAGTGTCATTGGTTAATCTCAAACGTTCGATAGTGAAATTGGTCCTTTGACTTGAGGTCATCATAGTGCTTTATATTAGTACAGTCATGCTTTGACGATGTTGAATGTTGCTTGGCCAATGGCCGCTAATACGGCATCGTTTGGGTATGTCAAGAATCATATGAAGGTTATGAATGATCAATAGAGAATTTATCACTCTTAGATAGTAAGAGATTATGATTCATATTTCATTCGATTAAGTTGATAACAAAATCCTTGATCAAGGTGTACTCATAAGTCGAAAATGAGTTTTCGACTTATATTGACTCAATAGTAGAGTGAAAGATATAATCGATAATCGAGATTGACACACTTCCATATATTGTAATTGATTGGATCACATTGATGAAGGGATTATAGTTTCACGATAAATGAACGAGTTTGGTTTTATCATACCACGTGATATTTTCCGTCACATGTATGGCCCAGACACATTGGTAGAGGTCAATCTGGGATGACGAGTGTGAATTGGTAATAAATTAAAAAGGTGTTTTAATTTATCAATTTTCATTAGATCAAAATAATATTTTCACGTCATTAGGCATCGTGATCAGGAACCTGATGGGTCGTACACAAAAGAAGAACTGAAAGATTGTGATTTATCGATTAATTAATTTAACAAGCGTTGAATAAATTAATTAATTGGATTGCTTATTTATAGGCTTGAATTAATCAATTGGATTAATTAATTCACAGATCGGATTTAATAAAATGGATTAATTAAATATTGGTTGGAGTCAGGCCAAGCCCATTCGAACTTATATAAATATGAATGTTTTCAATATCTTTAAAGAATTCATTATTTTTGCCAGCACAAGAAGAAAACCATATTCCTACAATCTTTTTCTCTGTGTGGATTACCATTGGGGGCTGCACAATTTAGCAGCTATGGGAGGCAGATCAAGGTTGTTGGAACAAAGAAAAAGCAAAAAGTTTACAGATCTCAAAAAAGGTATAATCACTTTTATCACAATCTCTACCTAAATACAAAGAGATCGTTGGTGGAAATTGAAATATTGTTTTATTTTTCACTGTGCATGATAAGTCAAGATTCACATCTGGCATCTAATACCCAAGAAGCTAAAGAACTAGACATATTAACTTCGATAACAAAAATACCTGAAGTAGAAGTTTCAAAAGACTTCTTTTCCCTTCAAGCTTGTGAGGTGAGCCTTAAAGTTCCTCTTCCAATGACCTTTCACTCCACAGTGATAGCATAGGTCGTCAGATTTGGTTTGTCCTTGCTCGCTTTGACTGCATTATTATTGTTCTTAGCCTCCATGGATGTTTTCGTAAAACTTCCTTTGGTCTTCTTCTTAGTGCCCTTGGAGGATTGAATGACTAAGACATACATAGTGCTAGCCTTGACATTGGGCTCCATAGTTTTAAGCATATTAAGCAACCAACGAGTGTGCATTAGATCTTATTTATATTGAAGTTCATGATTAACTATTCATGTAGAACTAAGTCAATACTTAGTTTGTGATCCATGATAAAACCCAATTGAGCCAATTTCCCAATGAAACCAATCATCTTCAGTACATGAGCACTGACTGAAGATCCCTCTGCCATTTTGCACCAGTACAATTGTTCGAAGGTCTCATATCTCTCCACAGATGGTTGTTCATCGTACAACTCCTTGAGATGAAAAATCATAGTGTAAGATCCATACCGTCATGTTGCTTCTGCAACTCATGTGACATAGCTGCAAGCATCATACGTACTGCAATGTTATCGTCATCACTATGTTTGTTGTATGCAACCACCTCTTCCTCAGTGGAGTTTTTAGTAGGTATGGAAGGGGCTGCTCAAGGACATACCCAATTTTCTCATACTTGAGAACGATTCTCAAATTGCGGTGCCAATTGGGAAAATTTGGCCTGATCAATTTGTTAGCATCTAGTGTGCCTCTCAAATTCATATGATTAATCATGATTCAAAAACTGTAAATGACAAAAAAAAAAGAATTAATATGTATTGCAATGCATTGCACAAATTTAATATGGACTTTAATTAAACGTGTTTCCACTGTTTAAAATGAATTCATGACCCTCATACATAAATTATTGGAATCCACATTTGAGTCCCAGTGGGCTGGGATCCTATCTGTTATATCAAATCTTGAGTATACTCAACAAACATCAATAAAACATTTGGGTAGATACTATTATCAATTGTATCTCCGTACAACTCTCAGATCATTAAGCCAACAACTCATTGTCTTCACATGTCTTATGTGTTTGCTTAACATACCTCTAAAACTTATCTCCTTGAAAGTAGTTGAAACCCTAGCTCAAAACTTTCTTCTTCCTTCCTCTCCGTCGTAGCTGCTACTATACAGTTTTTCTTCTTTCCAACTATGCAATGTCTTAGATCTTATTCCTTTCAAGTTTCTATCGATTATAACCTGTGGAATCTTAATTTGTTGATAGTTTTCATCTTTCCACCGAAGAGAGGTACTTTTATTAATTTTTTTTTTTTTTGGTTTCCCCCCCCCCCTTTTTTCATATGTCATTATCTTCTATTTTTTTTCCCACAGACAGCGGGATCTTGCTTGCTGGTCTTCGTTTCCACTTTGTAGGGTGAATAGGTAAATTTTTTTTTTTTGGCCAGTTTAAATCTCTTTTGGTGCTCTATGTTTTTTTTCTTCGTGTAGCAGAGAAAGGTTCATATTTTTTGTTTCTGTATTTTAGTTTGGATGATTTTTGGGATTTGATATTTTTTTAGGCGCATGTCAGATGTTGCTCGAAGGATCATTCAATTTTTGATCAGTTCTCGCCCGTGAAATCTTTTTTTTTGTTGGTTTTTATCTTCATACTAGAGAGATAATTTTTTATTCTTGAGTTATTTTTCACTTTAATAATTTGTTGAATCTCTGTACCTTTTGGTTTTTTTAAAATTTTTTTATTTTTTTTAAGTGGGGGTTCTAGCATGTGGGATCTTGCTTTACTAATCTACATTCTGGGTTGTAGCAAGAATAGATATACTGTTGTTGCCGTTAAAGTCTATTTTCGTACTTTTGTGTTCCCTTTAGTTTTACAATGGAGAAAGTCATTTGTTTTTGTGTAGTTTGTTCTGGATGTGCCCTACTTTTGATTTTTACGGGATTAATATTTCTTCTTCTGACTTTTCTGTTGTTTTCTCTTTCCATCAGTTTATTTAAACTTATTAATTGTCTATGAGGTTATTGAAGAAAGTAGGAAAAATAAGGAACTAAATCTCACCATTATTGAGTGATGGCTGCAAAACTTTATTTAATGCTATTATAGTGAGTGTTTATTTTTCTTAATTCATTTTTGTCCATTTTGAACGACCAATTTTAGCTACATATGTCTATGTATGGTATTTTCACTATTTATTCATTAAGATATGGTATTTATTTTCACTAGAGATGTAATCTTTCTGTTTTGGAGTCATTTTTCCCTCTCCTAATTTCTTGAATCTATTACTTTTGGATTTTTTTTCTTTTTTTGGAGCTTTAGCATGTGCAATATTTCCACATTGATCTGGGTTTTATTAAAAGAGTATGTATATTGTTGTTGTCGTTCAAGTCTATCTTTTTACTCTTATGTTCCCTTTAGTTTTGCAATGGCGAAAGATTTTTTCTTCTTCTATGTTTTTTCTGTAGCAGAAGAATGTTCTTTTCCTTTCTCTTAGATTGATCCATGAATTTTGAGCTTCCTATGTGTAGACTGTCATTTTTGTGTTCAATTCTTTCTTCTGGGTACTTGCTTAAGTTTCAAAGTGATATGTATTTTCAATTTCTCTATTTCTTGAGTGCATATATTTATGTTTTTTGTTGGGAGTGTTCATTATATATATCCCTATACAATAAAAGAGGGACTTCATTCTAGCGTATTCATCCTATTTTTCCTTTGGTTTTTACTGTTTGTTTCAGATATATGCAGAGAGACTTCTATCGTCTTTCTCTTACTTTTCCTTTCTCTTTCTCTTTTTCTTTTTCTTCTTCTTCTACACTCTCTCTTTCCAACTCTCTTGCTCGGGTCTTTCTTTTTCCACTCAACCTATCCGCTCCTCCCTCTCCAAGGCTTTTCAGAAATCTTCTCAAAAGTTTCATGAGATGTCAAAGCAGAATTACAAAGTATGCTTTTAGTTCTGCTGCAGCGCTTCCTCGTTGAGGTCCATAAAAATGAGAATACCACGGTTGCTGATGCTTAGGTTCCACGAGTTGAAGCACCACAACATATATCTTCGCCAGGGACTCAATCTTGAGGGATTTTTTTGTAATTATTTGTTTGGGGATGTTAATCCTCACTTAATCCTAAACTCGAGTAACGTTTCTCTAACTTTTTCCCACTTGTCGATTTGTAAATTTTGGATTTTTTTCCCTTCCCTCTCTCTTTGATGAGAAGTATTGTATTTTCTTCCTCTTTTGTTCTTTTTCCTTCATTCCACGCTTGACTCTTGTTTTGCACCATATTTTCCCTCTCTTTCTCCTCTCACATTGCAGGGAAAATTCTAACTTTTGACTCATAAAAATCTTATATTTCCTGTATCTTCTTAAGATGAGCTTAGCTTAGGCTCATAGAAGAGGGAAAAACCTTACCTTCTTCTCACTTGATTTATTGTGGGGCTAGATAGTTTTCTTAGGTATCATAGCTTTCTTAGCTGAGATCTCGTTCTTTATTCTACATTCGGGGTTCATAAATTATGCCTGTTTGTAAAACCACCAGAACTGTATTGTCTGTGTGTATTTTCGTTCTGAGAATTCATGTGTAAACTAATTGTTATGTATTGAACTTCCATTACTTCCCTAATCATAGTAGAAAGTTTTCATACATTACAAAATCTGCACAAAGAAGTATGTGATTGATGTGGATTTTTAGTACACACTAGTGTGAGCTTTAAACTCGTCTATCCTCAGTGTCCTTCTCCCTATTGCTATCCCTATAGAACAAAAAAGATACTTGATTCTGCTACTGTTCATCCTTCTTTTATATACCACCTTTGTATGTTTCCCATGATGTAATAGCCTCGATTGCTATTTAGAACCTATCAATTTTTAATATTAGTAGTTATATATATATATATATATATATAAAAGAAATACTTAATTCTGCTACTATTCATCATTCTTTTATATACAATCGCTGTGTGTTTCATGTAATGTAATAGCCTTATGATATACTTAATTCTGCTACTGTTCATCATTCTTTTATATACAGCTACTATGTGTTTCTCGTAATGTAATAGCCTTGATTGCTATGTAGAACCTATTAATTTTCTAATATTAATTGTTATATGTAAGGATTGTGCAAGGAATGACCTTACATACTGAGACATTTCATTTTTGCGAGTGCTTCTAATGAAAATGGTCAATTGCAGGCTGAGTTGGAAGCTTTCAACGAAAAGGATGGCCCTGAAATTGAAGTTCTTTCAATGCATAGAAGCTTTGTTCATCCGCTCATGCAAAACGCACGTGTAAAACTTGGATAAAGAGCATTTAGTTTTTGCAACCAACAAACTCCTATGGGTTTGGAACATCTCTTGCATTTTTTTATTTTTATGGATGTAGCTACTTGAACTCAGAAAATGTGATCTCTTCTTATAAATTATGTCTATTGGAAAATAAATTTCTGCAAAAGAAAATAAATAAAATAAATTTTATGGTAAATGTGAATACAGTTAATGAATCAATGAATAATTATGTGGGAGATAAAGTAGTTAAATTTGGACTGTGCACTTTTTGTTGTTAATAGATCAATAGAATTTACTAATGCACCAATCATAGATCTAGAAACAATTAAGTAATGATGAATGCATCCATTGTTAATCAAAACTTGAAATTGAAGAAAGAAAAGAACAAGTAGAAGAATTTGAAGTGATTATTATAAAAGCTTCTGCAATAAATCATTAAATGTGTGTATGGTTAAGGCTTCATAATTAACTACTGTTACAAACTTACTAGATTCTAATAAGTCACACACAGTAAGTAACTCAGAAGTCAAAGTGTATTTATAATTGAGACAGACATACAATATCCATTGTCCTTAATAAGAAATTGAACTGAACTTGAATAAGAAAAATCAGAACGCTAAGTTTCACACTTGGCTATATGTCATTCCTGATTTTCTTTTGCAATTTTGTTTATTATTTGTGAAGAATGATTATATTTGTTGTAATTGGTACAGATGGTGAAAAAGAGATTATAGATGTTAAAGATAGCAGCTCCACTCAGGGTGTTGAGCGCGAGGTCATTGATGTGGATGTGGCTCAACAGTTGCATAGTGAAGGTTTTAGTGGTACATTTGTTCCAATGAAAGTAAATTCACGGAAAAAAAGGTGTACCGAATTACTTGTCACTAAACATGAATTACAGACTAGTTATGAAATGCAAAGGATAAAATCTAAACGTTTTACAATGTCAAGAGGTAAGAATATTATGTTAGAGACATAATTCTTGATTTTCCTTTTTCTTTCTTTTTATCTACGATAAAAAATGTTGACTATTTTTTTTACCGATATGTCCAACTCAAGAGAACTGTGGACACCAGTTTATAGGGCTTGAACTTCGAGGTTCCATGCATAATGTTTCAGATCAAGCTGGTTTTGAACCTGAAAGAGGTAAATTTACAGATTTCCGCCGTTTGATTACCTATGTTTGTTAACTTGAAATTCATCTCATGAGCCGTCTTTATCCCTCATTGCTAAAATGTTAAACTGTATATTTTTTTATATTAATGACGCTTCATTTTATTGTAGTTGCCAGCTATAATTATAGTATGTCTTCGAAACCTATAATTTGAATATAACTTGTATGTCAAAACGGAGAGTTGACGGTCAATACGACTATGAACAAAATCAACTTAGAGCTGATAAAGTTATACAAAGGAATGAACGTACTACAAAATTTAGTTTGCTGAACATTCCTACTAAATCTCATGTGCTTGTGCAGCCAACTATTTGTGAACATTGTGGTGCCAAAAAATTTCATAGAGAGAGTAAAGGGTTCTGTTGTTCCGATGGGAAACTTAAATTGCATATACATAGTGTATCTAATGAATTATATGAATTATTTACTTCAAGTTCAGTCGAAGCATTGAATATCAAAAAATTCGCAAGAACTTATAACAACCATTTTGCATTTGGTGTCAAATATGACAAAGATTTGTGTAAGATTAATAAAGGTATTTATACATTTAGTGTCCAAGGACAAGTATATCATTACATAAACCAACTTTTACCATCTAATAATAATCCAACTTATTTACATTTATACTTTTATGATACTGAAAATGAATTACCAAATTGATTGAAAATTTCAGATAAATTTTGTGAATCAACTTTACGAATCTTAATTGATATCCAAACGATTAATCCTTACTCTAAGTTCTTTCGTTCATTGAGCAATATCGATAGTTTGGATACATGTCGAATATAAGTGAGATGTTATCCTGGTCTAGACCAAAAAGTCTACAAAACACCAACAGTTTCACAAGTAGCTGCAGTTTGGGTTGATAATGATCCATCTACAGACAATAGAATTCATGATATATCGATCTATGGTCATCCTGGCGCTTCACATAGAGTGCATTATTATTTTGGTTGTTATGATCCGCTTCAATACCCATTACTCTTTCCTTATGGTGAGTCTGGATTGCATGAGGGTATTCAAAGATTGAATAAGGAAATGTTTCGTTCTTGTTCTGCACAAGAGGACCTTTTAAACATCAATAACATAAATTCTGCAAATGAATTGATTGAAAGGGAGAATCAAGGTTAATAACTTCAGAACTATTTTTGTATTAATTTATCTTTCTTAAAAATGTTCCTGTTTAAATTTTTCCTTTCTGTTGTAGTTATGGAGAGGGGAAAGAGACGATCACATGTATCTTGTCATGGGTATTATTGTTATAGATTATAGGTTCAAAATTCAAGCAATTGTATTTTTCTCCATGCTGGTAGGCTTTTTTAACAATATGTTGTTGATATATATGTGAAAATTGAAACTGTTAGACTAGATTACTTTTACAATAACCTAAAACAAATACGGGCTGAACTTTATCATGGAATTATTGATAATGTTGAAATAGGTGAAAGTAGAGGTTATAAGATCGGTCGAAAAATTATTTTACCGTCATCATTCATAGGTAGACCTAGGGATAATAGAAAACGATATATGGACGGAATGGCGTTAGTTCAAAGATATGGTAAACCTGATGTATTTTTAACAATAACTTGCAATCCTAATTGGCCAGAAATAGAGCAAGAACTAAGGCATAATGATGAAAAGCAAAATAGACCATATTTGCTCACACGAATATTTAGAGCTAAATTCGAGGAGCTAAAAAATGATCTGTTTAGAAGACATATTTTAGGTCCTATTGTTGCATACGTATACGTAATCGAATTTCAAAAGAGAGGTTTAGCACATGCTCATTTTTTGTTGATTTTTAAATCTAGATCAAAAGTTACTTCAGTTGATTTAGTTGATAAAATTGTTTGTTGTAAGATTCCAGAAAAAAATCGTTACCCCCATTTACATCCTATTGTTGTTAAACATATGTTGCACGGTCCTTCTGGAACACTAAATCCGAATAATGTTTGTATGGAAAATAATAAAATATTCAAAAATAAATATCCAAGAGAATATGTTATAACAACTTTACTTGGTGACAATTCATATCCACAATATAGTTGTCGCAATGATGGTCAACAAGTTAAAGTCAGAGGACATTTACTAGATAATAAATGGGTTGTACCTTACAATCCCTATTTAACAGCTAAATATGATCGTCATATCAACATAAAAATATGTTCAACTGTTAAAGTTGTCAAATATTTATATAAATATGTTTATAAAGGACATGATCGAATAACTTTTTCCATAAACGACAATGAACAAGATGTTGATATTGATGAAATTTCCAAATATCAAACTGTTAAGTGGATTTCTCCACCTAAAGCGATGTGGAGAATTTATGGATTTATGCTGTCTGAAATGTCTCCATCAGTTGTTTCACTACAATTACATCTTGAAGACCATCAACTCATTACATATAGAGATACTGATAATTCGTAGGCAGTTATTAGTAGAGATCATGCACGAAAAACAACATTAACGGAATTCTATGGTACCAATATCACATATGAAAAAGCTAAGACACTTACATATAAAGATTTCCCTTCGTATTTTGTGTGGGATGCGAGTGAACGAATTTGGACTCCTAGAAAGCAAAAGAATGTAATTGGTAGAATAGTCATCTGAAGGTGAAAGATATTACTTATGTCTTTTGTTAAACCACATTAAGGAATCAACTTCTTTTGAACAATTAAGAATTGTAAATGGTGTATTGGCATCCCCATTCCATGAAGCAGCTCTTTTACATGGTTTATTAAGCGACGATATTAATTGTGAGCAATGTTTAGCAGAAGTAATTGTTTACCAAATGCCCCTTTTATTGCGTAGATTATTTGCTACCATATTGACCTTTTGTAGTCCTAACAATCCACATTTGCTATGGGATAAGTTTAAAAGTTATATGTTTGAAAATTTCATACAACAAGGTATGTCAATTAGTGTTGCCCAATTAAAGGCATTAAAGTGTATAAATTCTATGTTAGAACCATTGAACAAAAGTATAAACGATTACCAATTAGTGTCATTTGATATAAGCATGGGAGAAGACGAAACGTTGGCTACCATGATTTCTGAAGAGCTGAGAAATGGTGGTAATCGAGGTGACAGTCTTGATACAAACACTTTAAATAAAGAGCAACTGTATGCTTATAACACTATTTTACACCAGATTGTAAATGATTATAGTGGCATGTTTTTTGTTGATGGCCCTGGTGGGACGGGTAAAACATATTTGTACAAAGCTTTATTGGCAGCTGTAAGATCAAGAAATCTTATTGCTTATTACCAGGTGGTAGAACTGCACATTCTAGATTTAAAATTCCTTTAGAAATAACTGATGATATTGGTTGTTTTATTAGTAAACAGTCTGCATTAGCAAACCTTTTCAGAATGACTAAACTAATCATATGGGATGAGGCACCAATGTAAATCGTTGCGCTATGGAGGCTTTAGATAAAATGTTAAGAGATGTAAACGAACAAGATGTGCCATTTGGTGGAAAAGTAATTGTATTAGGAGGAGATTTTCGTTAGGTTTTACCATTTGTTTGAAGAGGAAAAAAAGATGTAATGAAAGCGAGATTGGTTTATTCGTATTTGTGGCCTTCTTTTACCCATTTACCATTTGTTCAAAATATGAGAGCTCAATTGGATCCTTTGTTCTGTAAATATTTACTTAGTATCGAAAATGGTACAGAGAAAGAACGCTCACGTCGGATGATTAAACTTCCATTTGATATAACAATACAATTTGAGGATGAATTTCAATCTTTGAAAAATTTGATTAACGTAGTTTTTCCAAATATAGAAAATTACATAGAAAATCTAGATACTATGATTAATAGAGTCATTTTGACATCGAGAAATGAATATGTCAATCAAATAAAAATATTTTACTAAAGGAAATTCTCGAAAAGATATTTACATATTACAGCTTTGATGAAGCCATTAACAAATCCGAACAGAGTATCCAAGAAGATTTTCTAAATACGCCAACTCCAAATGGTATTCCACCACATGAACTCACATTAAAACAGAATTGTCCTGTTATGTTACTTCGAAATATTAATATGTCTAAAGATTTATGCAATGGAACAAGACTTGTTTGTCGAAGATTTGAAAGAAATGTCATTGATGCAGAAATTGCTACTGGAGAATACCGTGGAAAGCGAGTGTTTTTACCTAGAATTCCGTTGTTACCGCTTGAAAGTGATAGAACTTCAAATCCTTTTAAGAGAATTAATTCCCAATCCATCCATGTTTTGCAATGACAATAAACAAGTCCCAAGGTCAAACTTTAGATTTCGTTGAGCTTTATCTTCCAGAGCCTGTATTTTCTCACGGACAATTGTAAGTTGCTTTGTTGAGAGCCAAAACAAGTAAAGCTATTGAAGTTTTGATAAAGCCATCAGAGAAATCTACAACACATAATACATGCACAAAAAATGTTGTGCACCAAGAAATTCTTGCTCTGATAACATCTTTATAGCCTTTTTTTAAGAGCATTTTCAAAGTAATGTGGAGTATACGTTTTATAAAAATCGTTCGTTCTTGCTCATTTGAACTACCAGTTTGAACTACTAGTGTTTCCAGAATCGACAACCTCATAACTAGGAGAGGATATCAATGTTGGAGAAACAGCAAGAGAACACCGGAGGTTTACGATTGCTCATTTTTCTTTTAGGAAGCCCAAATGATTATTCTTTTAGAATTGGTCAGTTTCTTTGTGATATCCTTTTTCTTTTTTTTTCTTTTTTTAATTTTTGATTGGTTCCATTTTATGAAAATATTTATTCCCTTTTTTCATTATAAATGACCTTTTACTTTTTTTGCTTCATAGAACAAGATGTTACAATTATGGTTTTTAAATTATCTTTGATTTGCTATTTAAATGCTTGAACAGTAAATTCTATGAAGAATTGAGAAACAAAACAAGGTGACGATGACAAGTTATTTGCTTTGTTTTTATTTTATTTAGCGGTCTGATTTTATTATATCTTTGCTGTTGTTCATCTTCGAAATCAGTGTTGTATTTGAAGTAACTCTATTTCTCAGAAGCTTCTAGTGACTTTTCTCCATAGCTTTTTGCTTAATCTTTTTTTCACATGATTTACTCTTTCTTGGGATTTGAGATTTGTTTTTTTAGCTTTATATTTTATGCCTACCAATCTGAGCAATGATCTTAGAGGAAGATTATGCATATTTTTGCAGACACATTTTCAGAAAATTATGCAGTAAAAAAATATGCATATTTATTGTCACAATCACAAACTGAAGCGTCATAACATTTCTGCACTCTGATATGGTACCCATACTTCTTTTACTGTCAGTTTCCTTTTTGACATGACAACTATATTTTTCAGCAGTCACCTGGTACAATCCTGCACTCGAACCATACTGATATATCAGACTCTGATTCAAGGGCTGTACGCAGTACTCCCTATTTCCTTTATCTTTTCCCAAAAATCTGGAGTAAGCGTAATGTTACTTCTAAAAAAAATACAGTACACTCCTATATATATATATATATATATATATATATACACACACACATATACATAGGCTTCAAACCATATACATTTCTGCATCATCACCTTTGAAAGAAGAACAAAGGCCATCAACCACCTCAGTTTTCTGGTAAGTATATATAAAAAGAAATGTGCATATCTTCTACATATTTATTAGTACATTTAATGATTCTTCAATAGCTTTCATTAATCTTTTTATCGTTCTTCCAGACTCAATAGAATGATAGAAAACTACAAGTTAATCCCAAAAATCAACCTTAGTGAAAAGAACTGGCAAGCTAAGGTAATAGTTGCAGTAAAGTTGGCGCCAAAGCAAGCAAGAAACAGTAACAATAAATATCAAAACATGGTACTTATGGATCTCAAGGTAAATGCTTTCAAACAAAACAATGTAATCTGTCGTCATTTTTTTTTTAAGGTAAACATTACTATGTAAATCAAAATTTATGATACTTTCCATTTTTACTTGCCATAGGGAAATAAAGTGCAAAGAACACTTATGATGGAAACATTATTGCCTTCGAAGATCAGCTTCTTTTGAGCAAAACATACATCATTTCAAATGCTCTCGTTAAAGACACCAAACCTGAATATTGAGCTTCAAATGGTGACATGCAATGGACAATATCTGGAAAGACACGAGTTGAAGAAGTTAATGAAAATAATCTGGAATTCTTGTTTTCAACATACACATTTACTCCATTTGAAGATCTAGATAAATTCATGGACTGCAACAACAACATAAGTTCTTTCTGCTACCTCTTTCTATATTTTTTCGTAGCTATATCTTATCTTTTTACTTCAGTACATTCATATTCGCTTATCGTATTTATTAACATTTAACTGATGCTGCTACAAATAATATCTATATAGGCGTACTAGCAGTTGCTATTGACATGCTTCCAAAATAACTCATTCAAACACAATTTGGAAACCAAACGTATGTGCAAGATGTTTTACTGATAGATAAAAGCTTCCATACAATCATCTTAACAATGTGGAATAGTTATGTCAAAAAAGAATGTGCTTCTGCTTGTGATCTTAACCAACTAGTTGAAAGTTTCATCATTTAATGGTGCTACTTCTTATGTCTTACTGTGCAGCTTAATATTGTCCATGAAAATTGCCATGATTATGTACAAGCAACAACTAATGTTAGGTGTTCGCTACAGGCCTTACACTTTCAACCAAAATAAATAGCACCTTCTTTATCGATGCTAGATTCAACAAAGTTGTGGAATTCCGAGCATGGTAAATACAAGTACCTTGGGCAGTACAGAAAATATTTTGTTGTAAATTTATATCAACTATATGTCATCATCAACATTCATGTATTCAAACCCCATTGTTATTTTTTTCCTACTACTTCGATTATTGTTCCCTAATAATTCTCTTTTTATAATCATATCATATAATGCAAGGGTTGAAGCACATTCTGAGGAACTGAATGAAATCGCACTGGAGAGTAACACCAACTAATCTATCTCCTCCAGCTCACAAGAAATTTATGCAGATATAAAATATAAAAGAACAGCTACTAGGGGTAATTTATTTAACTTTATTCTGCACACTATATTTTTTTCTCCTATCTTAAATAATTACATTTTATGTTATTTCATTATGTTTACACAGCACAAATACTTCTGGATCAAAGCCAAAGCAACCATCAAGACAACAAAGCAAGCTTTCTGGTACATGTCATGTAGCAATTGCAATAAAGTTAGCCACGAAAATTTTGGTAAGACTTTTCCATGTATTTACTGCAAATATACTTCCGCAAAGGCTGTCCCTAGGTAATCCTCACTAAATTCCTTTCCGATTTGTACCACTTAAAGAAATACCTTGTTAAACTTCACACAGGTTCTTCCATTTCAATCTTTTTTCTTAATAATAATGATCTCAATCTCCATTATCATAGGGCAAATGCTAATGTACAGTTAGAAGATGCAAGTGGAATCTTAATTACAGGTGCGATTGGTGACTCTGCTGAGATACTATTGAAGAATAATGTTGAGACTTTAATGAAACATTCTAAATCAATAAGCGCATATATCATTCCCTAACTATGTCAACTTCAATCACTCGTACATACTAATGGTAATTTTTCAATCCTCACTTTCTGCAGGCAAGTGATCCAAACATTAATGAGTTCGTTCAACTAAATCCTGAAGAAGAACTTATCTTTTATCTCAAAGTCACACAACTGGAGCCAAACGCTACAGAGTACAAGTATGAGATTATATTTGTCCTCAATGCATTGTCTATTATTGCTGATGACATAGAACAATCAAGTGAGAAAAAGAAAGGTTTCCAATGCCCTAATGAAGTAAACAACAGTTCTGATAATCAAGAAGTGTTACCACCATCTGCAAAATGTTCATTGTTTCAAACTTCAAGTGAGCCAGCACTTCCAAACATAAAAGCTCAGACAAAAAATTCTACCTCCAACTCAGAAAATGATCGCGTTCTAGCGAAAGGAAAACTTAAGTAATCATCATCATACGTATTTGAAGGCAACATCAATGCTACAACTTCAAAATTCCATTTACATCTTTTGACAGCATATAAATAATTCTAGCATAATAACCTTCAAAAAACTTTATTTAATTTTTGTGGCACTCGTTACGGAAACTTCATGCTGCTTTTGACATGTTACTTTGTTTCATTTTGTAGCACTGCTTTTGCCTACAACTCTTCCATGACGTTTAAGCTTAGCAAGAATGTATAACGAGCTTCATGATGGTTTAGCTTGTGGCTTAACTATTATGGGATATCAATGCTTTTGAAATGTGTATATATATATATAAATCATCCAGTGTTTCTTCCTGAGAATGTTATTTTATAGTTTACCTTAGTTTTGTTAATTCAGACTCCTTTGAGAAGCATTAACACGAATAAAATTGCTGATAAAAAATTCTTCTATCAAATAAATTGATCATGTTACAGCATCAAAAGACTTTTATAACAAAGCATCTCAAAATTATGAATAACCAAAGACAGTTCTTTTTTTTTTCTTTTCTTGTGTAACAATGTTATTATCAAACATTTCTTTCGAGAGAAATATTTCTACTTATTATAAATATTACCTTACAATGTGTGCTAATCTACCTTAAGTTTTACGTTTCAATTATCAGTATTACTAAACAAGATTCAGTAAATGATGTCTCAAAATCACCAAGATCACTCCACGCTATTACTTAGCCAATTTTACCAATGCACGTGCAAGGCACGTGCGTCCCACTAGTGCGCGCGCGCGTGTGTAATCATGCATCAACTATGCAAAATAAATATACATATAATAGTATTGATGATCATGGACTTATTCTATCTAATTTTCCCGAGAAAAGAGAAAAATTAGTTGGTCAATTCCTAGGGGGTATAGCATTGAAACAATATCAATGCACCATCTCCATGGTTTTTCCTCCTTTTCTTGTGTCTTCAATTAGTCCAGTTGCAACATGTATCCTATACTAATTGGCACGTAGACCTAAATGAAATTAGACTCACAAGTCCATAATAATAATAACAACGGACTCGCAAATCCAAAAATAATAAAGAGCTCGCAGGCCCATAACAACAACAATAATAACGGACTCCCATGTCCAAAAAAATTAAAAGCTCGCAGACCCATAAAACGACAAGAATTGAATTAACCATTCAACACATCCATATGTTCGAGCCCATAATCTTCCTTTAATAGATATTCATAACATAAATGTTTTCTATATAATATCTAATATTATATGCAATGTCTCAATAATCTAGCAATTATAGTCGTCAAAACTCATTTAAGTAAGTGGATCGAAATAATTAATTAATTATATTAATTAATTAACTTAATTGGTAGGCCTATTTAATTAAAATCAAATTTTATTTAAATCTTGAATTAGAGTCCAACTCTAATTCCATAATTATTGGGTGAAGTTATTTAATTAAAATCAATTTTTAATTAAATATTAAATTAGAGTCAAACTCTAATTCTTTAAAAGAATTTAGGGTGGAATAATTTAATTAAAATCAAATTTTAATTAATTATTAAATTAGAGTCATACTCCAATTTTAATATATATTGGGGAATATTATTAATTAAAATCAAATTTTAATTAACATTGGATTAGAGTCCAACTCTAATATATAATTAATATTTTAATTTAGGAAAAAATTCATTAAATAAAACAAAATTCAATTTAGGGTCAAAATTAAATGTTTAAGTTAAAATCTAATTTTAACAAAAATATAAGTCTCAATTTTAAATAAAATTTTAGTTTTTGGATCCAAATTAAAATATGGGTCAAACCCAATTAAAAACAAAATTTTAAAACCCTTTTAAAAATTACAAATGGACCCTAGTCTAAAATTATAAGCATGATCCTATAATTTTGAAAATTACGTAGAAGCCCTCCATTTAAAAGTTGCAACTTGACCCTGAATTCAAAATTGCAGATGAGGACCTTGAATTTCTCAAATTTCCCTAGAAGCTCTCACCCAAAAGCCTAAAGCCAAAATTTTTTTCTATTTTTTTGGTGGCGCCGCCGTTACCCACTAAATAGCAAGATGGGGGCGGGCTCGCACTACCCAAATAGCAACGACAATGAACTGCTAGCAGCGCCCGCCCGCCATCGGTCCATTATTATTAATTTTTTCAAAACCAATTTTGAACATAAAATAAATTCAATAATTGCTAGATTCAAGAATGGCATGTATAAATCAACTTTTGATTTTATCAATATGCAAATCAATTCATAACAAACACAAAGTTGGCTCTGATACCACTGTTGAAGATTTATTTATCATGCACAACGAAATTAAAAACAAATTTCAATTCCCACCAGAAATCATCTTTATATTTAGATAGGAATTTTGATAAAAGTTATACTTTTTCGAGATCTGCAAACTCCTTTGCTTTTCCCTTGCTCCAGCAGCATTGATCTGTCACCCACGACTATCCAATTGTCTAGCCTTTAATAAAATTCCACACAGAGAATAGATTGTACCCACCACTATTTTCTCCTCTTGTGCTAGCAAGAATTATGAGAATCTCTACAAATTGAAAACCTTAACCATGTATTTATATAAGCCCATATGGGCTTGGTCTCACCCAATTCAATATTTAATTAATCTATTTAATTAAATTCAGTCCATGAATTAATTAATCCAAGTAATTTAATTAATTAATTAATTGACAAATTACAATCTTTCAATTCTCTTTTGTGAACGACCCATCAGGTTTCCGATCACGATACCTAACGACGTAAAATATTATTTTAATCTAATCAAAATTTCATAAATAAAAATAACCTTTTAATTTATCAACAATTCACACTTGTCATCCCAGGTTGACATCTAGAAATGTGTCAAGGCAATACATGGTATGATAAAACCAAACTCGTTCGTTTACCATGAAACTATAATCCCTTCGTCAATATGATCTAATCAATTAGGAGATATGGAAGTGTGTTAATCTCGATCATCGATCATATATTTCATTCCACTATTAAATCAATATAAGTCGAAAATATCCTTTTTGACTTCTCAGTACACCTTTGCCAAGAATTTCGTAATCGACTTAATTGAATGAAATGTAGATTATAATCTCTTACCATCTAAGAGTGATGAATCCTCTATTGGTGATTCACAACTTTCATATGATTATTGATATACCTGAACGATGATGTATAAGTAGCCCTTGGTAGAGCAACATCCAACAACGTCAAAACATGACTATCCTCATACAAGGCACTATGACGACATCAAGTCAAAGGACCAATTCCACTACTGAGCGTTAGAGAATAATCACTGACACTCAGATAGTTATCCATATGGAATCTCTTAGTGGGTCTCCAATGTTTTTTCTATAACAAAACATCCACGTATTTATTTAAGTGTCACCATACTTTAGCTTGTGAGATCAGCTATTTACTTCACAAGTAAAAAATACTACACGTGATGGTCTATCCATAATAACGATATTCATATCTCGTTATTACTTACGACCATAGATTATTTAAAATCCAATCATATGTAAATTGCATCTTACAATCACAACTTATTGTGATTATCAAATTACTGAAACTTAAATTTTCGGACTCTATTATTTAACATTATTCATCAGAATATTAATTTAAATAAATAGTAAATCTTGCCAAAAATAAATATATTAAACATATTAAAAGTTTTACAACCTAAATCAATTGGATCTAGAGCATAACACTTACAGAACTCACAATAGGGGATATGCATCTAGTTAATTCGATTACCTTTAAGAGTTGGAATTTCTCCAATTCCAGAAGGGATTTCTATAGTTCAGAGCAGTACAGACTTAGGTGCTGATGACTTGGGACGTGTATTCCATTGGCTCTCCAATGCGCTGGATTAGATTCACTAAGTAGCAGTAGTTTTAATCAAAGAAAATCCCCTTCATTTGGTTCCTAAGTAGGACTTTCGAAGCTAATACTTTTGAGTCTGAGCGCTTCAAGATTGAGCAGTGAACCGATAATCATAATATTTTTCCAAGATATTCTACAATCACTCAATGTTAGATAAGCAATGTTCTCCGGCAGAGGAGTCCGATTTACTTGATTAAGCTTGCGAATAAAAAGGCAACTGAAGTTCTCAAGTTACTGTAGATGCACAAGATTGTCAAAATCGTTTAACAATTTAAATTTCTTGAGCAACATTCAACATCACCAAAGTATGATTGCCCTCATATAAGACACCATGATGACCTCAAATCAAAGGACCAATTTCACTACCGAATGTTAGAGATTAACCACTGACACTCAAATAGATATTCATGTGGAATCCCCAGCGGGTCTCCAATGTTTTGTTCTATGATAAACATCCACTTATTAATTTAAGTGTCACCACACTTTAACTTGTGAGATGAACTTCTTACTTCACAAGAAATGCCACAAGTGATGGTCTATCTGTAATAACGATATCTGTTTCTTACAATCACAAATCCTTGTGATTAACAAATTACCAAAATTTGAATCCACGGACTCTATTATTTTATTTAACTGGATTTTAATTAAATAATATATCTGTCATAAAATTCTATCAAATATATATTAAAAGTGCTTATGTCCAAAGTTAATTGGACCTAGAGCATAACACTTACAAACTCCGACTTGCACTAGATTCAATTACTTATATATCTAATACCATAATAATCTACATTACAATCATGTTTATATTACGACAGCTCTTTGTCAGTGGATCTGCAATATTATCAACTATGAGAATTCGTTCCTTCTTTATGTCATTTCTTTGTATTATCTCTCTGATGAGATGATACCGTCTTAATGTGAGAATCCTTTCACCTATTTGTTTATTTATTTCTAGCTTGAATCCCTTGAATATTTAAAGAGCTTTATGCTTGAATTTTATCAAGTATACATGACCATCTCTGAAACAGTCGTTAGTAATTGTGATGAAATAGGAGAAACCCCATCTGACATTTATTGGCATGGGTCTAAATACATCACTATGTATTAAACCTAGTAATTGTGCAGATTTTTCACCTTTTCAAGTAAAAGGAGATTTGTTCATTGTGCCTAATAGGCATGATTCACATTTGTCAAATGATTCAAAATTAGTTGACCTCAAATTTGCATCTTTATGTAATTCCAAATTGCTTTTCATTTATGTGACCAAATCTGCAATACCAGATATAGGTGTTATTCAAAATATCATTTTTATGCCTTTCAACTTCTATATTTGTAATAGAATACTTAGTATTTAGAATATAAATGTCATTTTGTAATTTACCATAACCATTAAAATCTTATCGAGACAAAAAGGAGCAATAATTATCTTTAACATTAAAATAACTCATGTCCAAATATAAAATTCAAATAATGTT